AAAAAAAAAAAAAAAAAAAAAAAAAAAAGAATACTTTATAGATAGTCCCCAAATGCTTTTCACATTTTCATTTTCCAGATGTTAACACTCAAGTATGCTTTCGGAGTTATTTTCCTAGGTGACACAAGAGAGCACAAGAGAAGCCGGTGTTGTTCACCCACGTTATTTTTGAGGTCGGCTCGGGACCCGCCCAGCAGGAGGACTCGTGTGCTCTGGGAGTGGCTGTTCTGGCAGGCCAGGTGCAGAGCCGTGTTCCCCGCCTTGGAGAGAGGCAAGAGAAGGGAGGACACGTTAGCAACAAGCTTCTCGGCAGACCTGTGCCGGGCAGGCTTTGCAGAGGGGTGACGCTTACAGGGAGATAGTCAATGCTCACATTCTCTGCTTCCTGATTGGTGATCCCAGCAGAGGTGTTTCAGTGGCAAGAACATTTAATGTGGAATCCAAATGGGCACAAGAGGCACATCTGTCATAAAACCTTGGTTCCAAGTCCCAGCTCTACAACTTACGAGTTGAAAGTCACCGGTCAAGGCTCTTAACTATTCTCAGTCTTGAATTCCTTACCTGTTAAATGGAGTGTGACCCCTACGTCCTGAGGCTGTGAGGATGAATTCAGAGTGCCTAGGAGAGTATTTACTTAATGGTAAAATGCTGTGCACACAGCACCACATTCCATTCCTTTTGAAGAGGACTGCATCCTTCCTGGCCAACACAGATAATAGCTGTGGCTACAAAACACCCCTGGAGTAAAGGCAAAACAGGCCACTTCCTATAAGTGTAAGTAACTGAGATTCAACTTGTAAGCCTCTCGAAAATCGTCCATTCTTGTATTCTCCTTGAAACATCAAAATTTGAACTACGGATGAGGTACCCACAGAGCAGGAAATACAATTATATCCATCACTTACCATACAAATAGAAACCCTCTAGCTTTTTGGACTCCATCCTCAATATGCCAAGTAAAAGTGACAGACAAGGATCAGAATAATGTCCACAGTAATCTTACAGAAAGAATTCATGACATGAACAGAACTTTTTAAAACCATGCAAACAGTGCCCACAAAAGCTGCTGATAAAGAAAAGTAACAAGAAAAGCAGGCAGCACAAGAGGAGATTCAGTGTTAGAGAGGGCCTAGGAGCATACCGGAGGTTAAATCTATAAGCTCGGTGATTGTTCGGCTGAGCTAAAAAGCTGGGTCAGGACTGCAACTGTGTGGGCTCAAAGCTATTTCATTGCCTGTTTGCAGCTTTGCCTCACCCAGGATCTGGATCACACAGCACTGTCTGGACACACTCACAGATGTTCTGTTCCTCACCTCTTGAAAAGAGGAATGAGTTTTATTAAAACACACACACAACAAAACTGTACATCACTGGTTCACTTACCTCCCCTCTCATACCCTTAGCTCTAAGTAGCCTGGTAGAATCTTTCTTCCTCACTGCTCCCTCCAGGAAGTTGGGGGTTGTAAACCTGAGGGTTTAGTGAACTCAGTGGTTACCAACCTTCTGCTGCACCTTAGAGTCACCTGCGGGAGCTTTTAAAACTATCAGTGCTCAGCTGCAATGCTTCCAGGGGCTCTGATTTACTTGGCCTGGGGAGAGGGGGGGTCTGAGAAGCTCAGGTTTTAGCACTAATGAAGTCCCAAATTCCAGGAAACCCCTCAGTTCAGGGGAAACTGGGACAGCCCGTCACCAGGTGAGTTTGTTTCTTCTCCCTTCTCTTTTTTGTTTGTTGAAAGTTTTCCAGGAGATTTTAAAGCACAGCCAGGTAGAGAGCCACTGCTAGCTTCCCTCTCAAAAACAAAGGATCTGCCCCCATTTTAAACCCTCCATTCCCTGTGGAAGGGCTCAGTGCCTGGCTTGCTGTGTGATTCTTACTGCACAAGGAGTAGTTTGTCTCAAAGGTGTTGGCTTCGTGGGATTATTAACTGTATTGAATAAACGAATGAAATAAAAGAAATCTGATGGTTCTAGAACTATGTACCAAACTGCTTTGCTAATAAGAAAATATTAATTATGCCGAAAAACATTTGGATCAAGAAAATTAAAAACCGTGGGTTAGCATAAACAAATTATGGTATGTTCACACACTGGAATATTACTTAGCAATAAAAAGGAATGAATTAGGGGCACCTGGGTGGCTCAGTTAAGTGTCTGACTTCAGTCAGGTCATGATCTCGCGGTTCATGAGTTCAAGCCCTGTGTCAGGCTTTGTGCTGACAGCTCAGAGCCTGGAGTCTGCTTTGTGTTCTAGGTCTCCCTTGCTCTCTGCCCCTCCCCCACTCTTACTCTGTCTCTCAAAAAATAAACATTAAAAAAAATGTTTTTAAGGAATTAATTAATCACACATGTAACAACATGGAGGAATCTCAAAAACATTAAGCTAACTGAAGGAAGTCACTTGCAGTGACTTAAAGAAGTCAGATACAAAATGCTGCATACTATACAATTCCATTTGTATGACATTCTGGGAAAGACAGAACAGGAGCTGGGGTTGGTGGGTGGGAACACGGCCACCAAGGGGCACAAAGGAAGCCTTGGGGTGATGGAAACATCCTATTATCTTGATTGTGGTGGTGGTTACACAACTGTATACTTTTGCCAAAATTCATACAACAGTATACCTGAGACAGATGAACTTTATTGTATATGGATTATACCTCAGAAGCTGACATTTCGAAAACATGACCTAGGTAGATCTATGTAGCAGGCATTTTTCCCATCCTAATAAGTACTTATTTCCAGACAGGGGCTGATCTAAGAAGAACCTTTCTTATATAACAGAATATGATTCACTCTTAAAAAAAGAGAGAAACTCTATCATTTGTGACACGTATGAACGTGGAGCACATTATGTATGCTAAATGAAACAAGCCAGACAGAGAAATAAATACTGTATGGTATCACTTAGATGTGGAGGGTAGGGCAAACAGGGAGAGGTTGGTAAGTACAAACTTTCAGTTTTTCGATGAATAAGGTGTAAGGATCTAATGTAAAACATGGTGATGACAGTTGGTAAACTATATTGTATAACCAAAATTTACAAAGACTAGAACTTCAATGTTTTCATCAAAAAAAAAGTTTTAAAGGGTAAACGTGAGGTGATGGGTGTCTTAAGACATGTATACATATATGAAGCCATCACTTTGTACATTTTAAATATCTTATAATTTTATTTGTCTGTTATACCTCAATAAAGCTGGGGGTGGGGCGCCTGGGTGGCTCAGTTGGTTAAGCATCTGACTTCGGCTCAGGTCATGATCTCACAGTTCATGAGTTCGAGCCCCATGTCGGGCTCTGAGCTGACAGCTCAGAGCCTGGAGCCTGCTTCAGATTCTGTGTCTCCCTGTCTCTCTGCCCCTCCCCTGCTTGCACTCTGTCTCTCTCTCAAAATTAAATAAACGTTAAAAATAAATAAATAAAAAATAAAGCTGGGGGTGGTTGAGGACTTTTCTAGAAGCTTCCTCAGAGGCTGTGGCTGGTACAGAACATGGAAGTCCTTCTTCTGGGATAACACCTACCTTTGCTTCCGCTGTTTTATTGTGGCTTTCCACAATACTTTTGGGGCCCTACACAGGATAGGAGGCAGTGTGGTGGAGTAGACAGACTCAGGATAGTTTATGGCCCTGACTGTGTCACAAACAAGTCAGGTGTCTTAGATAAGACTACCAGCTCCCAGCTTAGGCTTCCCTACCCATTAACTAGGAACCACCTACTTCTCAGAGTTCGAGGATCTAACGTACACCATGGATTCACCTACAACTCACATTCCACACAATGTACCACGGTGAAGAAATGAAGAAGCCACCAGTCTGCCAGGCATTATTGGAAATATTACGATGCATGGCTTGCTTCTTTTATTCAAGCTTCTGTCCCATAAGGGAACCATGAGAAACATTTAACGAGTAGATGACATCACAGAGCGGTGTGTGGTGCCAAGGGAGCCCTGTAGGAAATACCCTGATGTGCCTTTGGGGAGGGTGCGGCCGCGGCCCTGGAAGCCTGAGTTGGAAGTCTACAGGCAGGAATGAGGAGCGAGATACCCACAGGGAGCAGGTGTGAGCCCACTCTGATAGCACAAGAGGCACATACTAGGAAAAGCACAGGGAAGAGGCTGCAGACATAGACTGAGGCCACTCCAGGGAGGTCTGAGGCAGTGCCAGGCTGAGGAGCTTTACTGGAAGGTTTCTGGGCAGGGGAGGAACAGGATGCAGAAGGAGGGAGGCAAGCTGGCCAATCTGCTGTGAGGCTTCTGAAATAATGCTGGGATGCATTCAGTAATAATGAGCACATGAAGAGGGGGATAAGACCTGAGCAGTGCTGGGAGGGCAGACAGGAAAATGAGGGAGAACAGGTGCTACTGGCCTGCTTGCCTAACCGCACTCCAATAAACCAATGGGAAAGCAGGGAGTCCCAGGAGAGCCCAAAGGAAGTCAAAGCCACTCCAGTTTGTCTTGCTCACCACGGAGATTATGTTCACTATGGAGTTCCAAGCTTTCGTTTCCCCTGCCAGTTTCCACATGCTCTCCTAAGCTCTTGCTCTGCTCAGAGAGGAGGTTCCCACAGGGACAAAAGCCCATAGCCATCCTCACCTGTGAATGGGGAGTTCTAGCACCTGCTAGGCCTCACCTTGTTCTTGGCAAGCACGTTGGCTCCTGCTTTAACGAGCAATTTGGCTGACTGGCTAAAACCGTGCCAGGACGCTTCATGTAGGGCCGTATTCCCATCCTGAGGAACACATACAGAGACAGAGAACACATTACCCAAGACCGAAGTCATCTCATTATAATCAGTACATTGTAGCGTATTCCTAGGCCACACCACAGGTCCTTTTGATTTCAAAAGAGGCTTGTCGAGGCACCTGGGTGGCTCAGCTAAGCGTCCGGCTTCGGCTCAGGTCATGATCTCACAGCTCAGGAGTTCGAGTCCCGCGCTGGGCTCTGTGCTGACAGCTCAGGGCCTGGAACCTGCTTCAGATTCTGTGTCTCCCTCTCTCTTTCTGCCCCTCCCCCCACTCATGCTCGCTCTCACACTCACACTCTCTTTCTCTCTCTCAGAAATAAACACTAAAAAGAAAAAAACCTTCTCATCTGAACCAGAGCCCAGAAAATGATTTCAGTAGCTAGTTTCTCCATTCTCCCAGAAATAGTACGTAACAAGTACCATTTTAGATTTATGATGTACAATGGATGCCTTCAGGCATTAGGGCTTAAATCTCCCTGGGAACCCTGGCTGAAAAAGGCTCATCCACAGGTCACATTTAACAGAAAGCAACATCAAGATGGCAGGCATGATGTTCATTCCTTCCCACCTCCATCACTCCTTGGGGTCTGCTCCGCTCTGCTCCTGACCCCAGAGAGAACCCTGCAAAGTCCAGGCAAACGAAGAGTCCAGCTCCGTAAGTTGCCAGGCCCAAGGACCAGGGAGGCAGATTCCTCCTCTCTTTTTCTTTCCCCAAATTTAATCTGACCCAGCTTAATCCAACGTCTCAGGGACCGAAATAAATAAGCAGGCACCAAGAAAGCAGTGAGTTGTAAATAATATAAACAAGTGTCCTCAATATGTGGCTTTAAAAAAAAAAACCAACCAATTAACAAACACAGCTGTATTCGGTTAACTTCCTACAGAAAAAGAAATATTAAATGCAGTGAAGTGTGTGGGGTGGGGCTGAGAGGGTTGGGGTTACAGGGAGAGAGAAGCACAGAGAGGAGAGGTAGAGAGACCACCTGTGCTGTTCCAGGTCAGAGAGCAGGGCACTGTCCAGTCATGTCCAGGCACTGGCTCTGACTTTATTCATCCATACCATGAGACAGGCTGAATGGTGTGGACAACCCACAAGTGGAAGTCTAGGCTCTCAAAGGCCATAGTCGGGGAGTGACCCTACAGAGTGAAATGGTGCTGGGAAGGTCAGTGGCGATGTGCGGCCTGGCCAGTGGGACTGACTGCACAACGCAGGAAGCAAAAGTAAAAGTGACTGGACAGGGGCACTGTTGAGGGGGCCTCCAGTGTGCTGATGTGATCTGCTTCTTGATCTGGGGGCTCACATAGATGTGCTCTGTTAGTGAACACTCATGGAACTTTACACGTATAACGTGCACATTTTTCTGTATATATATTACATGTAATAAAAAGTTGTCTAAAAAAGTAAGCAGAGGCTGAACTGCACCTAATTGTGAAGTTCCATGTTTTAAGACTGTTTAACAATTTATTTATTTTTTTATTACATTTATTTATTTTTGAGAGACAGAAAAGACAGAGCACAAGTGAGAGAGGGGCAGAGAGAAGAGGAGACACAGAATCCAAAGCAGGCTCCAGGCTCTGAGATGTCAGCACAGAGCCTGGAGCCTGCTTCGGATTTTGTGTCTCCTCCTCTCTCTTCTTCTCCCTCACGTGTGCTCTGTCTGTCTCTCAAAAATAAATAAATAAAAGCAACAAATCAATATGTCATTGGGATTTGTTAAAGAATTGATTTTGCTTATTGTTTTTCTTCCAATATTGTTTAAATAAATTAACTTGCTCACTTTCCTTCAAAAAAAAAAATTGGAAATAGAGTCCGGGGCACATCCCTTTCCCCACCCAAGCCTCCACAGATCATTATTTCTAGACTTTTTTCTTTACCATTTATACATATGTGGTTGCCCACTGCTGCCACAGAACAGGGTAAAGGATCAAAAAAATTAATATTTATTGGGATATTAGATACTCTTGCAAAAGAAAGGCTGAATTTACCATGTTAACTCATGATAAATAGGACTCAGCAATGATAACATATTGAGTCGTCACAAGTTCCCCAAGCAGGGTCCTCAGGCTGATATGCCCCATGTCACCTTGTCTTGGCGGTCCAGAGCACAGCCCTCCTGGATGAGCGCCGCGATGACTTCCGTGTTCCCCACCACTGTGGCTCGGTGCAAGGCGGTCTGATCCCCCTGCAGAGTGACACGTAGGCAGGAACAGCAGTCAGCTCTCCCAACCCCCCACTGCACCACTCACTACTCTGACACAAGGACATCTCCATCCTCGATCGCAACAGACTGGTCACCCTGCCAGGTGGTGCATTTTTGTTCACAAACTTAGTGGGAATCTCAGACCAACAACAAAACAGCTCCAGAGCTGACTTTGGAATGAGGGTCAGGCACTCACCCGCCACCCCAAGGAAAGGCAGTGTTCAGAGGGAATATGACTGTCACATCTGTGAAAAGCTAGACTGTGTGTGTGATACAATTAAACCAGCAATCTTTACTCCCCATTGAGTTCTCTACTCCCCACTTTCTCTCAGAGGAATGACTATCCAGCCATGCCAGTTAGCAACACTCATGATTTGATGATGGGTACGTATTTTTTTTTTTTTATTGACTTTATGGGCCGAGAGCAATGGAGGGATTTATGCTGTGTCATCTGAGGACTCCAGGACTACAAGCTGTGTAAGTCATTGTGTAAGTCTATGAAGCCTCTTCTGATATTTCATGACAGCATCCTCACTGACTTATGATGTATTTGACCCCTTTTTCTATAATCAGGTGCCTGGGACTGCCGACCTTCTCTTTCTCCATCAGGGCACCAAAGGGAACTTGACTCTTGCCCCAACCGCATTAGAGAGGAGGTAAGATGGTCAAGATAAGAGAGAGTTCTAAAGTCTCTAAGAGCAATCTCATCTCTGACATGTACGCAGGAAGTCCAGTTGAGACAAATCAAGTCTAGCCTGGGGTCCAAACTGAAATGGGGAGAAAGGTGAACAGTGTGGAAAACTTCTTGTAGGAAGGAAGGGGTATGGGGCAAGGGGTTCAGGAGATGTGAGTCTTACACAGCCTTGGGAAACACCGGCCACCTTGCTGCGCCTTGGGTTGAGGGCTGGATGACCTCCAAGGTCTCTCCCTTCCCTTCTTGGGTTCTAGGATTTGGTTGGTAAGAGTTTTGCATACATAAAATGTTCTGGTGGAGCACCAGAGGGGCAAAGGCACCTCCTGTGGCATCCCTTGTCCTGAGCCCAAGAGAGGAAAGAGAGACTATTATAAGACAGAAAACATGGGGATTTTGAAAAGAGGGACGCACTGCTACCTATAAATAGCCTTAATGAAATGCTGAGTCTACTTACCGAACACCCTGGAATCTATAACCAACAACAGTGCACATTAAAAGCACTTAATCCAAGAATAAATTCTGGAGATGGATGGTGGTAATGGTTGTACAACAACGTGAATGCACTCAATGCCACTGAGTGTACAGTAAAAAATGGTTAAAATGGTAAATTTTATGTTACATGCATTTTATCACAATAAAAAAGCACTTAATGCTATTTAAAACTCAAATTCACTTTCTTAAAATTAAAAAAAAAAAACCCTCCGTTTAAAAATCCATGAGGGGAAATGATTTTTATTTTCTTCCTCATAATTTTTAATACTTTCCAACTTTTTATATTTAACACATATAATTTTAGCAACAGCAAACACTGCTATTTATTAAAAGTCTAAGCTGTAACAATATATATTAATAATGGGATTGTCCACATCTTATAATCTTTTCTCACTGTTCAGTTGTAGAATTTAAGGGATTTACACAGTGATGGGTCAGGACATCCAGCTCCATTATTATGATTTATCCACTGTCCACAGCATTTCTATCATGAACCCTCCCCTTGGCATCCTAAATCCTTATTCCCAGTATAAATTAGGTTTGGACATGGCTTTCTTCTCATGCATCTTCCCAGACCCCTCACTCAAGAAGAACCCTTTCTGCATGCCTTGTAGTCACAAGAGAATGTGGCCACTGGATCAGTGGCTGCAGGAGGTGTGTAAAGCCATTAATGTCCGTCTCAAACATCTTCAGGAGTGTTTCCAGATGATGTACACTTAATGTCCAAACAAGTAATACTATGAGAAACTGCCCAAGTCTTAACTTTATAAGAATTTCCAAGACTGGCATTTCCCCATCAGAATGGTGACAAGTTTTCCCAAAATGGACCTCAAGTGCAGTTTATGACCTGATGAGAAAGATGGTGCTCTGTTCTTGGCAAGAAAGAGGAGACCACAGCTCACTCCTCCAGAGTAAACACCGACAAGCCCTTTTCATATTCCCACAGACTGCTGGCACTCTACTCAGCACTCCACCAACCTTTTTGCATAATAGGTTCTGTCCCTGTCATGCACAAAGCCTCAAACTCATGGGTCATGTTGGCCACTCTTCCATGCGAGTCATGGCACAAAGGGCCTCTGCTGGTTAAGGCACATTCTAAGCTAAGCCTTGCTACAGGTCATTGGTTTATTGTGTTTCACAAGCTGCCACTAAATCACGAATTGAGGCAGCTTTGGAGCCAGAACATCACCATTATTTATTACTTGCTCTCAGCATGAATCTACTGTTTTTGCTTCCCTGTGGAGAGGACTTTCCTTTGCGAAACTCTAACTCAGTGAAAGAAGCTAAATCTAACTTTCAGTTTAGCCTTTGGAAATTCCCAGGTGGATTATCGAGACTCAAGGAGATCTAACGACTTCTGTGAGGTTGCAGTGAGAACACAAATTGTCCTAAGCCACTGGCACCGGTGTCTCCTGTAGTGACCTTTTAGAGGCACTGCCTGTCTCCAGGCCATAGCTTCCCCTCCGTCTTTACTCCCCTCTGAGACCTCACTCAGCCTGGGTCCTGGCCTCATGAGTTGGATAAACACTGCTGGGAAGGCACCAACATCAGCCTTTCCACCATAAGTGGATGCCCTTTAGCTCTATCATTAGCTTTGGGAACACTACATGGGACAATTCTGGAGGACTGAGTAAGACACTTTCTCTGGCCTAAAAACCCAGCTACCCTAAAGTTACCAAGATGAGAGTTAAACTCAGAGAGACATGAAATACATAAGCAAAGGGACACCTTGGGCTATCTTAGGCTACTCTTCCCAGAACACAATACAATAAAGCACCTGAGACCCTCAATTGAAATAGGGCCAATTTCCTGGAAATCACCTTCCTCCTCTAAAATTTACTGTGGGAACATTTCCTCTGTGAAATAGGACCCAGAAGACAATAAAATGTGTCCTCAATACATACTTATTAACAGACCCAAGCAGCATCTTTGACATAATCCTTATTTCTATGATATAAATAAACCCTGAAATTCTGAAACTTTGAAAAAAGATGCTAGAAAAAATATGACACTCTTGTCAGCAGTTACTTGTTCAATGCATATTTATTGACTCTCTACTGTACTCCAAGTGGCATCATTTTATTGATAAAAACAAAAAACAAAAAACTAAGGCTCAGGGCAGTTCAGTGCCTAGCCTAGGATAACCAGCTAATTCGGGGTAGCATGGTCAAGCCAGAATTCAATCTGTCAAGGCTCTTTGCACCTACTCCAAGCTCGTTCCACCCTATGAAGTCAATTAGCCCCAGTGCAGGCCTTAAAAAAGATCAGGTCCCTCTGTGGGGTTGGAGCTGCCTCTTTATGGCATCATCTAGCTAAGTGCTTTAGCACAGTGCCCTGGCCACTACAGGTGCCCAAGAAGTATTTGCCAAATGATTAACTACAAAGAAGCAGAAGGAAAAACACTGCAGTGGGAAACTCGGAGAGCCAGCAACCTTGCAGTTTGGCATTTTGATTTGGAACATGCTGACCTGTTTGCAAAGTGCATGAACTGCCAGCTCTCAATTTTTCTGACTTCAGAAAAATTGACTTTGGGAACTTAAGGCGTTTGGAACCTCTGAGGTCTCAATATTTGTTTCACAATGCTTTTAGTTCTCTCTCCTACATGATGAAAAAGAATGAGCACAGTACAGGCAGATTTCAAAGCTAAGCTCATGGAAGAAACCCGAGTCATGCAAAGGTGGAACATGTCCCTCTTCAGGAGGAATCCCTCCCAGGAGGCACAGACAGACATGTTGCAAGGAAGCCCGAGACAGCGTAGGTGTGCAAAGCAAATTGCTGACCTCTTGTTCTCTCTCTGATCTTCTAGGGTTCTTCCTAGCCTTTCTTCTCTGTTTTTTCTTATTTTTTTCTTCCTTCATGGCTTTTATCATGGCCACAGGGTCCTGGGCTATTTCTGAGGTAGGGGCCGTGTGGTTGCTCATTGACCAATCAGAGATGGCATTAGAGCTCCAATGTGTGTTGACAGGATTGGCAGGAAGCCAAGGGGAATTTTCTCCTGGAGTTGCATATTCTAAAGAACTGGTTTCCACAGGTTGAAATTCATAATAATCCCACTCCAGGCCACTGGAGGTCATTCTTCAACTAATTCTCAGTCCTTACCGTGACATAAGGAACGTATCTGTAGAATATGAAGTTAGAAGTAAATTCTTCATAATATTAACATTCTCTATTTCTACCCATCATCCAAGACAGGTAACTTCTGAACTGATTATTTCCAATAATTAATATCCCAGCTTCTTTAAAAAAACACATATAGTTTTCTTCTTCAGATTCTTGCATTAAGTTTCAAAGCCGATCAACAGGCATGGTAAATACGTAGAAGAGAGACGTGAACAATATTCTGGTGAACACATTATTTCAGAATTCTACCTTCTCCATTCCCAGCAGCTTTTACACTGTTTTGTTCTGGTGTTTCTGTTTTGTTTGTCTGTCTTGATTTAAGTTATCAGGGACAAGCAATAGATTGATTAGGGCAAGGAGAAGATGCAAGAAAATACATTATTCCAATAAATGAAACACATTGTTCCCATCTAAAAGTAGAGGTGAATTTCCTTTTGCTGACATGTCTCCCCTTAGCTACCTTGTGAAAACTCCTATTTTACTTCCTACCTTGCCTGATATAAACGCCCACAGTTCTAAGAAGTTAGCATGGCTCTTGCTGCATGAGAACACAGTGATTCTTGGAGCTCAAGAGCTGCGGCAGGAGTTGGCGGACCTGGCATGGTAGCCTTGCCACCATGGCCAGTGAGGACTTCAATTATGCAAAGAGAAGACCAGAGGCATCCCAACATGTTTGCACCAGCATCCCAATGCCCTGCCTTTTCTGTGGTCAGAATCTCTTCTCTCCCCTTGTATTTTCACTCCTGTCATCTAAGGATATGATAGAATCAGGAATGTTATCATGGTTACAGTGTAGGGAAAATGTATTATGACCCAAGGTAGAAATCAACAGCTGAAAGTTAAATCAGCATCTTTTGAAAGTAACATTTTTGATGACCCAATGATTCCAAATATAACCAGAGATTTATGAATGATACTGGACAGCCTTCTGCCTGTACATAAAACAATGACATTTAGTTATTTCTTTGTGAATGCTGTCCTTCTCACCATATGTTTGCCAAGTTTTAGGACATTACAAAGATACCTACAGAAAACTAGATGCACTTTGGTAACCTATACCCTGCTAGCACACCTGAGGGGTTAAAATTTGATTAACACTCCCATACCCTCAGTTATCAAAGGTCAATCAGGAAGAGATCATGATATGTGCAAGTTCTGTAAGATTCTCTGTTCCTCACAAAACTTCTTGTTTCTTAAAGTCCTACCACACAAATTAGAGTTGAAATTAGGAACAGTTTCTGAAAATAATTTCCAATTACATTATCATAAGGCTGTTTCCTAATAGCTCACTGGAGGACAATTCATTTCATCTTATTTATATCCTCTTCTTAGAGAATCTACTTCCTCAAAGATCCAATAGGCAACCCTGTGCACCACATGACCTCATCCCCACCACTGGTGATTGAGTCAGGAATGAATACTTGACTGTAGAGGAGCCAATTGGAGTCTTTGTCTACATAATCTGAATGAAGAAACTCAAAGTCTTTTTTTTTTTTTTTAAGTCGGCTTCATGCCCAATGCAGAACCCAACGGGGGCTTGAATTAATGACCCTGAGATCAAGACCTGAGCTGAGATCAAGAGTTGAACACTCTCAGCTGACTGAGCCGCCCAGGTGCCCCAGAGACTGAGTCTTAATAAAGGCATAACATGAGAGGAAACTCTTTCAGGATGCTTCCTTTTTCTTGGATTCCATGATATGTTAATTTTTTATTTGAACAGGTCCTTTAAAAGTAAACGTATCCTAAGAGAAATCAAAGTGAGAAGAGGAAAAAGTCAAGTTTTTAAGCCCCACTTTTTCTCTAACAGTAAGCTTGGTCAATGACACATTTCCCACAGGCCTTGCCCACACTTACTCGTGTGTGTGTGTGTGTGTGTGTGTGTGGTGTGCTCCTTCACAACAAGACAGGACATAGACAATATGCCTTTGAGGCTCTAGACGTAGATGATACTAGATAGCACATGAACCATGATGGGAAAACCACCCCAAACTTGCAAACTATAGCTTGCTACTGGGAATGGGTCCCAGGATAGGTCTTCAAGAAGAAGGTCCCCGTGGGGACCCCATGGAGACCAAGATGGAGCTAAAAAGTGCTAGGAGAGCATCTTCTACCCTCCCACTGCCTAGCTGCTTACATGCTATACTGTGTATTTCCAGATAGACAAGCTCCCAAACAACCCATCCCAATAGAATGTGGTTTCTACTCACATCATCCTGAACATCAAGGTCACAGCCAGCCTTCAGCAAGATCTGGACCACAGAAAGATGGCCCTTATTGGCAGCAAGATGAAGGGGGGTCCGGCCATGCTGTTAATGCAAAGGAAACACTGATTTCAGAACAGGATATCAAAACCACTTCCCTAGAGGCAGGTGTGGCCCTAGAGCAAGCTTTACACAGTCGGAGCCCCCTTCCCCTTCAGTTCGGCAGAAGATCCTTATATATTTACTCAGAATTCAAGTTTGTCTCTGTTAACCTTTGTAATTGGCATTGTAATAAATGAATAAAATATGCTAAAAACGCGAAGATTTCCTTTGGTGCATAATTTCTACTCCACACTCATCAAACAAATAGGAAAATGAAGAGTTTCATGTTTTCTCTTATTTTCTCCTTGGTGCTAACACTCAGGGATGATGAAGTGGTCACAATGAATCAGATGGGGCAAAAGATGAAAGAACAGCAAAAGGTCAAGCTAATCAGCCCCAGAAAAATCTGGTTAGTAATTATTAAAATTTGAAACTACTGGCCAGACTGTTCTGAATAGGTTCTCCCTTTTTTTAAACAAAATTTAAAATTACAAAATAGGGGCGCCTGGGTGGCTCAGTCCATTAAGCCGTTGACTTCGGCTCAAGTCATGATCTCACATTTCATGAGTTTGAGCCCTGCATTGGGTTCTGTGCTGACAGCTTGGAGCCTGGAACCTGCTGTGTATTCCGTGTCTCCCTCTCTCTCTGCCCCTCCCCGGCTCCCACTCTATCTCTCTCAAAAATAAGTAAACATTAAAAAAAATATTTAAATAAAATAAAATTACAAAATATTTCAGCCATTCAAAAATATGAATATTTAAAAAAAAATTTTTTTTTCAACGTTTATTTATTTTTGGGACAGAGAGAGACAGAGCATGAACGGGGGAGGGGCAGAGAGAGAGGGAGACACAGAATCGGAAACAGGCTCCAGGCTCTGAGCCATCAGCCCAGAGCCCGACGCGGGGCTCGAACTCACGGACCGCGAGATCGTGACCTGGCTGAAGTCGGACGCTTAACCGAATGCGCCACCCAGGTGCCCCTGAATATTTTTAAATGTACATACCTATAAGTCACTTTAAGAAAACCTTAGAGAAATTATACATGTTCCTTTTGAACCCCTTCCAGATTTCATTTCCCTTCAGCTCCAGAGGTAATCACTCTTTTTTTTTTTTAAGATTTTATTTTTAAATAATCTCTACACCCAAGATGGGGTTTAAACTCACAACCCCAAGATCAAGAGTTGTATGCTCTACCGACTGAGCCAGCCAGGCACCACAAGGTATTGGTATTCTTAAATTAAATTAAATTAAATTAAATTAAATTAAATTAAATCTGGTATTTTTCATTCCTTTGCCTTTAATTACATATTTTGCTACGTGGGTATAGCCATAGATAATAAATATTGTTTTGCTTATTTTAGAACCTTACATAAATAGCATTAAACTCTTAAAGTATCACTTGGCAATTTTTGTCCAATGTCATATTTTTGAGATTTCTTCTCATATTGTCGCATGTAGTTCCAGATCATTTATTCATTATTCCCCCATTCCCTACTGATGGGCATCCAGGTTCTTTTCAGTGGTTTGCAGAACGCACTTGTGTGCACGTCTCCCTATGCACCTGAATAGGCTTCTTAGCCTTGTGATCGGGTCACAGAAAGGACTGTTTCTTCAATAGCCCTCTAGTATAACACGGAGGGTAACACCCAGAATAACTCTTCAGTGTAAATCAACTTCTATCCAGAGAACTGACCTTGCGAAACTCCAAATTCTAAAGGGGACATCGTATTTCCTTTGCTTTTCCCTTCAAGTTCACTGTGAAGAAATCTACCTCCTGCTTCAAAAATCATTTAGCCACTGGCTCCCATCCATACTGAAACACACCCTGACGGGCTCATATGGGTCTCCTAATAAGGGAGAAATAGTCTCTTACATCTCTCTACACCTCAATAAAATTCTCCAAAGACCTTTATTGATATTCTAGCAGAATAAACTCATTTATGATCTCCATAAAGTGTCAGTTTGCCATGGGTAACTAGCCGTGGAGGAAAACACAGATAGCAGACAATAAAGGATCTTAATTTCTACGCATGAAATGCAATCAAAGCACTAGAATGATTCTGTAAAGAAAGAGGTCAGAGCTCACTTTAAAATTAGAATTCTTAATTAAGAAAAAAGTTACTCCCAACAAAGTGGGCTATAAAAAGCCTTCATAAAAAGGCAATGTCTGAGAAGAGATGGAGTGACCTTCCTTGGCTAGCAACTGTCTCAGTGCACACTGCTTAACCTTGATTCTTTCCATGAAAGTCCACAGCTGATCAGATGGAGCAAAATAAGCAGGTTCCACTCACTGGGCCTGGTCCCAGGCTCCATCTGTCATCACGTGTCCTTGTTAAGGACATCAGAAAATGACCTTCACCAAGTTTCTAGGCATTATGACACACAGAAAGTTTGTTACTCTCGGGAGGAGACGGATGTGTGTGCTGTGAGGAAGGCTGACAGGACGGTAGGACACAAGTGCTTCTGAGCAACTGAAAACATAAACCATGATGAGGAGAGTTTGCTGGAGAGAGCCTGGAAGAGAGGACAAAGGACAAGGAATCTCAGGGTGTCAGATGAGGGAAGCCTGAGGAACATCCTCGTCAGGAACCAGATGTGGCTGGTTGGAAGCTGAGGCACAAGGAGGCAAAAGGGTTTGCCCAAGTGAACACAAATAAGCAGAAGACAGAAGGAAATGGTGCTGTGGTTCAAACCAGGTCATACCTGGGAAGGTGCTTTAGAAACTATAAATTACTAATAAGATGCCTTGGACTGGCATCCAAAGTCAACAGAGAATCCTCTCTCTGCAGAAAGGACAGGCTGGAGGCAACGGAGCCTGATGTGCCCAGTTCAAATCCCAGCTCTGACTAATCACCCCTATGGGACTTTGTCCACAACACTCTCCTGAGCCCATTTTCTCACCTATAATATAGGAAGAGGCTGGGGTGCCTGGTTGGCTCAGTTGGTTAAGTGTCTGACTCTTGATTTTGGTTCAGGTCATGATCTCACAGTTCATGCGATCAGGCCCCCATTTGGGGGGTGCAGAGCCTGCTTGAAATTCTCTCTCTCCTTCTCTCTCTACCCCTCCCCTGCTTTCGCTCTCTCAAAATAAATAAACACACATTTAAAAAATTATAAAACAGGAATAGCCTGCACTATCCACCCCATTATGCTTGAAATAAGAGTAACATCCACCATCGAAGACAGGGTTTTTTTTCCCTTCCAGCTGTCCTGAGCCCTCGCCCCTGAAGACACCCCAATTGTTCCCTCTCCTCCTTGACACCTTTGCACCTCTGCCTTAACAAAGACCAGTGAGATATTTTCAATGGCAAACAGACTCAGGTGAAGGGTTGGAAATCAGATCACTTGGATGGCCAAATGGGCCCCTAGCTGAAGGGTCATTTCCTACTGGCCAGTCCTGATCCATATGTCCACTTCCATCTTTGAAATACAGCCCACAGTTTCCGGTCTCTGTGTTTCTGCTGGATGGGCCTTCTTTCCTGGCAATGCCCTTCTCCAAACTTTGCCTTCTTTGACTCAGCAAGAAACATTCCTGGTCTTGTCTTCTCTGCTCCCACAGTGCCTCAGCTTCCTCCTAGGAAACCAGCACATTTTGTTTTGAATGTCACCCTGGGCACTGGCATTTTCTTCCAACCAGGCTATAATCTCCCTGAGGTCAGGACTGTGCCTTCCATGACGAGGAAGCAAGTTACTTCTGGGATGGTACAGGGCCATGTCAAAGAGAAGCCAGTGTTCCTCAAGCAGAGGCAGGCTGAGGCTACCAGGGACATGGGAGCAAATTCCAATTCCAGGCTTGGCCTCAAAGAAATGGAGAGCCTAGGGGTGCTCTAGGTTCTTGGATGTCTCAGCCCCTCAGTGGAAGTGTAAACAACTGGGGGTTTCATTAGTACTTAAGCAGGTGCAACAGTGACATGAGGACTTCTCTGAGAAGGGTGAATGTCCTCCTCACATGTCTGGCTCCCTTTCTAGCACCAGGTAAAAGTACAGCAGCATCAAAGGCAATAGGAATCAGTTTCCCACCGAACCTGAAGCTGTCCACTCCCGTTCCCTGGGTTTCCTAACACAAGACCAACTCCCTTAAACACACACATACACACACACACACCACACCACCACCACCACCACCCAAAGGTGGAGAGAAAGAAGCAGATATGTAATTGTTTTCTAGAACATTCTATTGTGAAAAGCAACAAAAGTAGAGCCAATCCGGGAAGTGGTTGCTCCCAGCAGGGATACCCCAAGGTCAAGCCTGACAAATGGGGAAGGCTGCAATCCCCTTAAGTGTGAGGGGGCAAATAATAACTGACCCTTAGAGGGGTATTTGAATGATTTAGACTCAAGGATGCAACTGCCATCATTTTCATGCCCCTAGGAATGGCCAATGAAAGAAATGGGAAAAGGAGAAAAGACTGTGAACTATGAATAAGACAAAGAAATTTCTGAAGCCTCCATTTGTCCTGGGACCTACCCCAGTTCAATAACCTGTTCAACTCAACTCAACCCAGGCCCTAGAGGGATTAGGAAGACCACTAATAATAAGGACATGAGCAAGAGACAGAAGCAGCTAACATTTAGCAGCAGCTAACATTCATGATACTTACATGACAGGCACTATCTTAAGACTTTTACCTGTAATAGCTCATTTAACCCCCCCCCCCC